AAAAAAAAAAAAAAAAAAAAACTTGAAATGCTTGTTGATAAATTACAAACAAAAAACTTGGAAATGATAAAAATTAAAATATAAAATCTTTTTTGTTTTTTTTTTTTGTTTTTTGCTACACGTATTATGTCCTTTGGCTAAATTCGTCAATTAAACCCTATAGTTTGCAGCCACTAAGTACACCATCATTCCCACTCTCATTTTCCGAAAGCTGAAATTGTAGTTCCGTCAACCAAACTGTTATTGCAAAGATTTTTTCCCCAGCATTTAAATTGAACACATTTGATTGTCATTAATAATATAAAAATAAATTTTGTTTTGTTTCTGTATACTGTTAACGCAGTCAATAAAGCTGCTTGAATCTGTTAATCTTAAAATTATTTCTTAGATAAGCAAATTTGTTTTTTTAATTTGCGTCAGCAAAGACTTTTAAAGATAAATTTAGATAACAAATTTTGCATTTGAAAATAAGACAGATAATTTTAAAATAATATTAAAAGAAGAATAAAAAACACAAAGCAAAAAAAAGAAAGTGAATGATTGCATTAAGGACATTCTATGGACTTTCATTTTGATAAAACTGTTACCACGTTAAAGGCGTATTTGTCGTTGTAACTTCGCTTTAGTACAACAACAACAGCAACAATAAAAAAGTATAGCTTTTACAGATGTTGTCAGAATTTGACAGATTTGATGCTGCAAAAAGTGTCATGCTGCTGAAAAAAAAAAAAAAAACTATTTCTTTGTGACAATAAATTTCCTCATTTAAAATAAATTTGACTTCATTGAGCTCTTAACTGGTAACTTGTGAATAGAATTGTCCAAACTTTATGTCTTTTCTTTTGCACAAAATAATTCTTCTATACAAATAAGTTTTGCTGTAATTTTAAAATTATGTGCTTTCAAAAAAATCCGCTTTTTCTGCTTTCTACATATGCATATTTATATGTAATCGTAAGCAGAGGGCCTCCAGATTTACAATATTTAATTTTGAAGTGGCTGTCTATTATTGTTTTACTGGCAACTGGCACCAATTTTGCACAATCATCAAATTTCTTTCTGTTTTTTTTTTTTTTTGTCAGCAACACATTTGGTAAATCATCTAGCATCTTTTTTCAAATTTTAGTTCTACGATTTATTTTGCACTTTTACGAGCAAATGACACCGTAATCTTTTTGCGCTAAGAGGCACATTATAAGCGGTAAAAAAATAGAAACCGTAGGTGGCAAGAAGAGTTTAAGATTGCTAATTAGCACTTTTCTTCAGTTATAATCTCTGAAATGTGACTGCTAATTCTAAAACTTTTTTTACAGCTTGTAAAAGTGGCAAGCTCTTGCTACGAAAGTTCTACATCGCATTGCTCAAAAACCATTTTTCTTCTTGACATCTTGACATTCTCTACAGTTTTATCAAAATTTACAAAAGTTATTTTTTTGCTGAAATCAAACTTCTTCCCTCAATTCAAACTACATAAACTTCGCTAATGAATCTGCACCTTTTGACGAGCTATAGATCTAAGAAAAATCTCGGTTTATTGTTCTACGCTATGATCTTTTTTATGCTTTGCCTACGGCAGTCCTCTTAGAAACCTTTGGTCGTACCACAAAGTTCACTTTTGTCACTATGGATACAAAGTTGTTGAATGTGCCTTTAAACCTGTAATTGTTTTGAAATCAGAAGAACAAGCCTTGAAAACTGCTTCAACAATTAGCCAGAAGACTGCCTATTAAACAGTGACAGCTATTCTAAACCAGGTGACTTAAAAGTAAAAAATTATTTTTTCAAAAACGGAAAAAAAACTTCTTCTGCACTGTCTACAGCGAAAAAGCAAGCATTTCAATCTTGTTGGAGTGTCTTTAAGAAACAAAAAAAGAAAAGAAAGGCGCCAGATTTATTTTCTGTTTATACGACCTTTCTTGAGTCTATTCCGCTGACACCGAACAAACAGTGAACTCGATAGACAAACTTTTACGAAGCAATGGCTTTATAAGTTCATTTAAAAGCCCTTCAACCAGAAAAACTTAATTAACGAGAATAGGATAAAGCCTTAAGAATTCCTAGCAAAACAGGCTACTGTTAAAAGATCACTATTCTACAGTGTTATCCTCATCGAAAATTTGCCTTTTTTATTAGGTCATTATAATTTGAAAGCTGCAAAGCCTAAAGCATCGGTGAGAAAAGTATAAAATCTACTGTCAAAAAACGTATATAAAAAAAACAGGTAATTTAGTGTCTTTATAATAACTTACTTTATTCATTTGGTTGCTGTCAGGTCCGCTGATTAAAAATATGAAATTCTCACATAACGGATCTTTTGAAGCGATTCCACAAAGGAATTGCGTTATTACACGTGTTACGATATTATTTGGTAAAAATTCTGTGTCACCAAACATCATCGAAAAAAGCTGGAAATTTAGTTTTGAAAAAATTTTTAAAGAATTTTTTATCGCAAGCAGTTTTAAGAAGCTTACTGTGAAATAAAATCTTTCAAACTATCATTTTTCTTAAAATTGAGAATTTTAAAAAAATTGTTTTGAAAAGTACAGTCATGTGCAGTTATGGAAAACAGTAGTTGGTTTTGAATTTATCACCTTAAAGTTTCTAAACATTGTTCCTCCTAACCATGCAAATAGTCCTTTAACATAAGCCATTTTTCCTACCGGAGCGAGTGCAAAAAATTTTCGAATCTGAAAAAAAAGTTACTTGTACCAGCTTGCAACAAATTTAAGCATCAAAAAACGTTAATTAATCATTGCTAAGAATACATGTAATTAAATATATCACAAAGGATAAATAGTGATAAAATGAAAAAGAAACTCGTTAACTTTTACAACGTAAACTGTAAAAAAAAGTAAACATTAGTTCCAAACAGAAAGATAATTAGCAGAAAAAACCATACTTTTTTATTTAAATACCTATCTTTTGAAAGTTTTGAAAGCATGGTCAAAGTTCCTTGTGAATGCCCCAAATAATAAAGACTTTCTTGGCCTGTTAGGTTTAGTACCCTGTCAATCATCGCTGGCAGATCATAATCAGCCATTTCAGACCATCTAAAACCTTCATTTACAAATATAATCACAAATTCTTCCTAAGCAAGCTTATTTGTTCTTTTTTGTAAGTGTGTCATACTCGTATCGATTTTAATAAGCTAAAGGTAACTAGAAATCAAGTTTTCTTTGTCCATTAACAATTCTCTAAAATTTTAGAAATATGAAAACATTAAAACAGCGTACGAGAAGTGCCAGTAGTTGTTTTGTGTTGTATCGGTTTCAACATGTCCTCGAGAATAACTGTTACCTCGGCTATTACCCATCCATACGTCAAACCCATAATCAGCAAAAATAAATGCTAAAGCAAAATAATCCTTTTTTTCCTTCTTTAACTGACATTTTGTAGATCATGCATTAAAGAAATAAAAAAACAATTAATTATTAAACAAGCCTAAACAATCTTCAAGTAATTTACATACGAGACAGGCGATTCCTGACGCATGCTGTCGAATAGCAGAAGAACAAAAATATTGTTTCGATAAAGAAGAGAAAAAAAACTTATTTTTTTTAATCAGTAAACTAATATTTACATTAGTTAATATTTGTAAAATAACATTTGGTTTTTGTTTATGACAGGTCAGTAGTGAAGAATGTATTTTTTTTTGTACAGAAAAACTTCAGGATGTGCTTTATTACACATCTGATAACCAACCTGGAGACTGATGAGGTAAATTCATAACCCAGACTGAGCTAGTGCATAACAAACCGTGCTGTAAAAACACTACCGGTCTTGGTTCTTTCGGTCTGGGTTTACCTTGAATGCATAACTACTATACTATAAGAAGTTTTTGAAAGACATACTCTAATGCTTCAAAGAAACAGTTGCTGAAACAAATTATATACTGGTAGTAGAACAGAAGATTAGCTCAAATCATCAACTGTTAACAGATTTTCACTAAGGTAGTTTAGTCAAATCACACACCATAACGACCATACGGTATCCTGTGCATAACCAAAACGTAACCATCATTCGTGACTACTGAATGCGTTTCCCATGGGTAGCCCCAACGATCCACGATTTCTGGCTAAAATTTTAAACAAAATCTTTTTTATTGTTATTCAGTAATTAAATTGTCAAAATTTGTCTTGCATTTAGCTGTGCTTCAAAGTTTTTTATTTTGCTAGTGACTGACGATAAAGTACAATTGCTTTTTTTTTTTACTTTTACATTATCACTATTTTTTTGTTGCAACATTCCTGCCATTTTTGCTTATACTCTTGCTATCAGTCACTGGCCACTGAAATTGAAAGCAACGGAAATGGCAGAATAAAATTAAAAGATGGGAACGACAGAGTGCTAAAACGATAAAAACTGCAAATTGCTTAAACTTTTGTAGAACTCTCATCAAAGTCCTTGAAAAAAGTTCAGTGCTCTGCGACTGATTAAATTCCGTTTGAAAATTTGAAACCAAGGCTTAAGTTTTTCATTTAAAAAAAGCAGTTTTTTAGCATTGTAAAATTTCGATTTACGGCTATCACTATGACCTAATCTTGTATTAATACACTTTGACGTAATCAACACAAAAAAAAACAGGCAAGAACAAGATTGGTGTCCTAGCTGCATAGATTTAGAATTTTAAACCATTTTTTTTGCTCACCAGTAGCAAAAGTTTCATTCTTTTGTTTGCTTGACATTCAGACATTTAATTCTGATATGATCTGAATTGTCTCGTAAAGCAAGTGGAGAAGTTTTGAATTTTTAAACTGCCAGATAAGCAGATACTATAGAGAGTAGACAATATAAAGATATGGAGCAAATTTGTAGGCAAGGATCACTGAATACGGTTGAGCCAGTTAAAAAAGGAAAAATGCTTTCAAGTACCTCATAGTTTAAAAGTAGTCATTTGATCAAGCTCTATTTCTACATTTACTGTTGTCATTATTACTGAAAGAGTAAACTAAGTGAGATCAGCTGAATAAGGTTTATTAATCATTAAAAGTTCCACAATAAAACGACGCAACTTCTTATACGTAAAAAAAGAAAGTTATTCCTTGAATAACTGCTGAAACAGCATTTATAGATTCGTCATCAAATCTTTTTTCCTGCTATGGAGAAAGGTGAATGCAGTTTTAAAGTTATTGGTTGATGCGAGAGATTCTTGGTTACTGTTAACTAGAAAAAAGTTGGCTATATTCTACTTATTTACTTGAAGCACGTTTACTTCTGAACCTTAACAGTGAAAAGTTTCTGTAGGATATAGTTTGGTTGTTTCTTCTTAGTGTTTTTGTAGTGATGAACAGATAATCGGTGTTCATCAAAGTTGGAAGCAAATCTGTATCGATAGGTGTAATCCCAAAAATTATAATCTTCAGAATGTTTACAAAAATGAAAGAAATTATAACTCTGAAAAGATGGAGAAGAATTATTTGTTTCTGTGACGCACAAAAGGCTAAAAATATGGTGAGAAACGTTGCAACATTAGAAAAGAAAAACGATTTCAGACTAAAGTTAAGAAATCTTTGGAGAATTGTTGGCAAAAGTGTTTCAAAAACTCTTGTGCCAATTTACCAAAAATTTATTTATACACAGTTGCAGAAAACACAGTTAACATCATTTTAATAACATGAAAAGTTTGTTTATCCCTTTTCTAAGTAGTTTTTTGTTGAAAGAATCTTATATTGTATTTCATCATTACCGTCTTTATAATACTGAAGTACAAACACAATGCTGTTTCGTGTAAAAAAAAAAAGTACACTATTAAGTGTAAGAAAATGATTTTAATTGTTCAATTGCGGTTCATTTTCTTTGTTCTTTTTTCTTTTGGAACGTTCTAAAAATTTATTAAACAAGAATAAGAGAGGAATGGAAGAGTAAAACAAAAAAAATAGAAAACCAACAACGTCCATCATGGCCTCTGGATCGCCAATATAGTTAGACCGTGACGGATGTTGAGAGATTACGGCCATTGTTACTGCTACCAAATATGTTGCCAAAACAACAACTTTAAAAGTTCCCATTTGCGCAGAATGCTGATGGCCGACCCTACAAGTATAGCGGAATCTTGCTTTCTGATATATCCGGAACGTTTGAACATTACTGCTAAGCGGTTTGATCTGGGAAGTCAATAAACTTTTTTTCAAAAAGTATTTTGTTCAAGTAAACTTCTGATGTTCAGCTTTGAACAGTAATCAATTACATCACAAGCCTTATATGCACTGTCTGCCACAAATTTTAATTTAGCACTTCTTCGTGACTGTTAACACCAACAGAGTTAAATATTGAAATTACCCTTTTCAGAGGAATCCAAAATGACTAACGACATTCCGCACGCAAGGATAAATACACTAATCAGGTTTCATTACACCTCAGAAATTCCTGATTACTTTACACCGATTGAGAAGTTGATATTCAACTAAGTGCAAAAGATAGAGGAAAGGTTAACATCTGACTAATTTTTATGGCAATTAGTTGTCGAAATATAATAGTGCAAATAAAATTTATAATTTACCAGTGAATAAATTAGTTGCAAAGCAAAAATGAAGGGAAAAAAACGAAAAAAAAAATTGGAAACAGCAATGGGACAGCGGAATGTTTGCGGCAGTTGCATGGAACAGCAGCGAAAGGATAAAAATATTTGTCAAATTGGTTCAAAATGCCCGAACAGCCGGTGGTCACAATTTCGATTAGGCAACTCGGAGATGTGCAAAAAATTTCTTTGTGTAATTATCGCTGAATTTTGTTACTGAAACAGCAGCAACAACGTTCTATGGCCTGGACGACGACATTGACATCAAAATGATTGTGCGTATCTACTTTTTTTGTATGGCCGAGTTGTACTCACCCAGTTTTTCTGCTTTGGTAGGCTCAGCACAAATACTGTAGTATTAATACTTTGTTTTTAATTCTTACTTCTAAAGAACTGTAAAAAACTTGGAAGTTATCCTGGACAGTGTCAACTCAGCTTGTTATGTAATCGTTTTCTTTTTGACTGTTGCGGGTCAAAAGCAGAATGTTCCTCATCCCTTTGCATTTCTTGTTAATTTTCCGTCAGTTCTCCTCAATTGTCTTAATTGCTGGAAACTTTAAAATAGAGATGAACTGTTAAAAATTTATATTTGTTACATTGACAATGGTCGCTTCAGCCTGTCTTACAAAGCATCTTCAACCCCTCTTCACCACTTAATCTACGTGCAATCTCCACATGAAACTTTGTCCTACTGATGGTTTCACTACAGGCCAAGTCTTCCATTTTGATCACATGATAATCAGCAGGCAACAAATTAGAATTTGTACGCTGACGATCCTTGGAACAGTTCTAATTGGTAGACAGGATAAATTTTAAAATTTTATCATGTTTCGGAAGAAAACGTTAGTACCAGATGAAGACTGAAAGAGTTTGATAAGTGTACTCCAAGTCGTAGAACAAATAGCAGGGGGATAAGAGCTTCAGAGTTTAGGAGATTTCATATCACGTTATTTTAACTATCTTTAAAAATTTTCAATCTCATGCGAAATAAGTTTTAATCTTAATAAGTGAACAGCCTTGAACTTACAATATAAAACACCGCAAAAATATATATTTTTTATACTCATGTTCATATATTAATATAGGTAGTTCGTTGAAATTGCATAACTGCTCTGTGACTTTTTATGATAAACGAATCGAACAACTTTGCACCCCTTAAAAGTAGAACAGAAACAGTGGACCTAGGTTAGGCAGTACTTTTAGAAAACAAAAAACATTGTTTTGAAATACTTAAAAAATTATTCCTCTCAGAGTTAAAAGAGAAAAAAAAGGTAGAAAATCTTGTTTTTTTTTTTCTGAAAACGTTGTCAGATGGAAACCAAAAACTCACTGCATTTGTCAACAAGGTGACAAATGCACTTTTCTAAGAGAGTTTGATGATCGCTGGTTCAATTACGATTCATCAGATTAACAAATATCTGTCAAAAACAAATGCCTAAGATTCAAAACGCTTTCACAAATCTATAAAAGTTAGGGAAGGGAAAAACGAACACAAATTCTTCTAGAATATAACTCATATATACGTATGGTAAAACAAGAGGTCCTGATTTTTTTTGACTGTTCGAATACCAATGTATTATAGAATTTGGGAAACATCTTTTTTGTACTTGTCAAAACCGTTATTCTTTATTTCATACATTGTTATAAAAAAATAATCTACTGAAACAATCAGTTTTTTCATTAACAAACAAATAGAATTGCTTTATTTAGCGCCTTCAGTGAATGAAAAATGAATATTTTAGAAGTTGGTAGTTTTCATACATTTAAAAAACAAATCAAGGACTGGCCTTCTTTACATCTGTAAAAAATTCATTAATTTTGGGAACAGTAATACATTACTGTTGCTAAGAAACGTAATCTTCAATACAAATATGTAAAGATGAAAAAAACAACAAATACCAAGAAAGGTATTCAAAATAAATCATTTAAAACGATTTTGCCTAATTCAACAACTATTTTTCGTTAAAAACCCTCTTATCTTTTTCTGCCACATCAGTCTTATCTTCATAAAAAATGTTACAAAAATTAGTTTGTCAGCTTTGCAAAATTTATCATTTCTCAGTTTAACGGTATTAACAAGATAAGTTTTTAAATCTTCTAGGTGTTACTTTTATCAGAAGCAAAAGAACTGATGGCAGTTACTTGCTCTTAAATGTTTCTTTTTTTTCAAAATGCCACTTTAGCGATTCCAAATAAAATGCATTTAATCATCGGTCGGAAATTTTCTCAGAATTAATACTGTCAGTTACCGTTCGTTACGGATTACTTCAACAACAAGTCTGCATAAAACAAAATAGTCCTTGAATATGTTATTCTATTTATGCAGTAGCCTAAAAGTCACCAGTTTTTTTCAACTGGCACTTCTCGGACTCTTTTCAGACCATACGGCGGAAATGTTCCATTGTAATTTGTCTTTCTGTCCATATACATCACCCAATATTAAGTGCTTAAAATCCCATACCGCTTAGCGCCTAAAAGTCAACGGGCGGGATAACCAGAATGCTCTGTCAAAACTATTATAATGCTTCCGACTTCTGTCCTAAATTTGCACACCAACCATTAAAACCTCTAAACA